TATGCGTTACTCTTTCCTCCTAGTTGTAGGACTTCCACTCAGCCAGCGTTCCTGTGGGTCTGGGTGATGTCCGTTCTGTCTTTTAGTTTCACTTTTGAAGTGGTTGTTCGAGGCAGCAAACTCCGGCGTTAACCTATGCCGCCATCTTGGTTCTCCCAGGGAAGGGCTTTCTAACTGAGCAACCCATACATGGATCAAGTTGCCTCAGGAGGTGTGAGCAAGTAAGTCTCTGACCCAAGCAAGTCCCAGGGGATGAGTTGCTGGGTAGGGGAGATCTACCTCCAGGGCTCAAGCATCTGATGGGCTTGGTACTAGACACCCCTCAAAACCCCTTCAAACTGGGGATGATCACATTCTGGGAAGCCAACGGAAACGACTGTTTGTCAGAGAGTCTGGGGGTTGAGCTGAGCTTTGAAGGATAAGCAGGAGTTCAGTGGGGTAAAGAGTGGGGAGGGGCACTCAGGTAGAGGCAGTATGAGCAAAACTCCAGAGATGTGAGCAAGCAGGCTGTGCTAAGGAGTCTGGCCTGATCAGAAGGGAGAGGTGAGTGAAGGATGGGGAGGAAGGTGAGGCTGGAAAGGATGGAGGGCCAGAAAGTAGGGAGCTCCCACAGGACCTGGTGCCCAATAAACACCACTTGTTGAAGGAAGGTAACGAAACAAAAATAAGATTGTAAGAGGCAAGAAAGGAGGCATTACTCACTTCGTTCCCTTGAGCAGGTTTTCTTCGGACAGCTGGATCACAGACATCTTGAGGGCAGGGTTGCCCAAAGCTGTGTGTGCTCCCTGCCACCCTTCCCACTGTTCCTTAATGCCCAGCAACATGGATAAGTCCCTGAGGGACTGGGGCCCTTTCCTGGGTTTGGGGTTGTTCTGTGGGTTCACCATAAGGGGTAGGGGGCAGACAATTCAGTGGCTGGGCCAGCCCCTAATAGAGGCGGTAGACATACAGTATGGCACCATTAGATGAAGTCCCTATCATTAACCCAAGATTTCACAAGCTCCGCCCAAAGCATGCTCAATGCTCAGAATCCAGTGACCTCACACTTAGGAAACAATGGGGCCGGGGCATGTCAAGGACTCACAGTAACTGGAGAGATGGGTAGGTAAGCTCCCTCTCTCCAGGGCCACAGGCAAGGTACCAAAGCTGGACCTGATGGATTCCCAACCGAAGGACCTGAGTCTCCCTAGTGGTAAATGACCCTCCTATTCCTGATCCTTGCTTCATGCCCTTAGCTTGGGGCGACCTTTTGCATGGATGGTGTGTGTGGTACTCCTGCATGGAGGAGTGATAAGCAGTTAAGCTACTGTTTCCTGTAGAAAATGAAGGATTTCTTGAGGACACAGGGGTGCTGTGAATACCTTAGGACCATCACAACGGAATGGGTAGAATGGGATGAGACACTGGTGTCCCTGTCAACTGTTAAACTTTTACTTCCTTGATAAGCCCGGCTTTAGTGAGGTTCTCCACCTGGTGGAATGGATGGGTCCAGGTCTTTCTTTCTTATTGCCTTAGTGTGGATCTCGCTGTACTTTGGACTCCTGGGGCTGTGTTCAGTGCTAATTGGTGGCTGCATTCTCTTTCTGCACAGAGGCCTGACTAAGCCCAGACAGGCCATGCTCCCCTCCAACCTCTAGCTTTCCTTATCTATAAAGGGCTAGGGGGGCCTCTTAAGCTCCCTGGAAATCTAGCTTTGACTAAGAGAATGGTAAGTCAATGAGGAGGGAGGGAAGGAATGAAGAGCGTGGTTAAGTGGATGGAATGACTAATGAACAGGTTAAGAAGAGGAATAAGAAACAACTCAGCCCCCAAGCTAGAGCTATCAGCCAGCTTGCCTCTTTTTCTTTCTTATTGCCTTAGTGTGGATCTGGCTGTACTTTGGACTCCTGGGGCTGTGTTCAGTGCTAATTGGTGGCTGCATTCTCTTTCTGCACTGGAGGAAGAACCTGCGGCGGGAAGAGCGAGCCCAGGAGTGGGTAAAGGTGATGAGAGCCACTACATTCACCTACAGCCCACTGTTGTACTGGATTAACAAGCGAAGGCACTATGGCATGAACACAGCCATCAACATGGGCCCTTCCCCTACTGTCTCCAAGACTGAGACTGAGGTCCAGACTTCAGATTCTCTGTGCGAGTTGGATAGCACTGAGAGTAGGAGCTATGCTGCTCAACAAAGCAGCCCCAAGGTGGAGGCCCCTGTCCCTCCGCAACCTGCATTGCAGCTGGTCCCACAGCCTCCCCTAGCTTCCCCAATGCCTCGGCCCCAGAACAGCTCCCCACTCCCGATTCCCATCTTTCAGGAGGTGCCCTCTGCCCTCTCCCTGTGTAACCTACCTCCAATGCTGAACCACTCCGTCTCCTATCCTTTGGCCATTTGTCCTGAAAGGAGCCTCCACTCCCCCTCCCTCCCCACACTGGCCCATGGGGACCACTGCTTCAATGCCAAGCCTTTTGCTTCAGAATAGTAGTCTCTCACTGAGTGTGGAAGCTGGAGGTACTGGGATAGAGCTAACCTCGGAAGTGGTATTGACACAGGCTAGGGCCCATCTGGATGTCACATTATTAAAGATTAAAAAAGTCCCAGGCTCCCTGGTGTCTCATTTGTTGTTAGGAGGGCAAAGTCCTTGCCCTGTTTGATAGGGACAATTTGCAAACTGAATTGAAGGTCACTGAGAATCACCAACACAAATGGGAATTGGAGGGTTGGTTGTGGGAAAACACACTGAATTAGTACTTGTGATGGGCTCAACAGTCCTCTACCCAGTTTTTACTTAAGACCAAAAATGTATGCTAGGTTCTGGGATAGGTACCCAAAGGCACTGCCATTCTGTGAGACATTAAGCACAGCTGCCACAAAGTGATAGCTGTGGAGCATGTGTGAACTGTGGTGATTCACAGTGACAGGTCACAGGCAAAACAGGTCATTGAGACCCAAGAGCCACACTGCACTGCTGGCTCAATCACATTCTTTGTTAACATGTATGTGTACTGAGTTGGGGTTGTCTCTACATTGTTTCTAATATAAGAAGACTGCCAATGACCCTCCACTTACAGATGAAGAGACAGTTCTCAAGGGCATTTGTTATATTGTTATAGCAAATTTGTGCACTTGGGGGGTGTTTCTCAGCCCAGCCTGCACCCTCTCCAATCTGGGACCCCTTGGGGGATGTCCGACTGCCGGTCTAGGCCCGATCCCACAAACTGGCAGTCGGACATCCCTCTCACAATCTGGGACTGCTGGCTCCCAACTGCTCACCTAACTGCCTGCGTGATTGCTCCTAACTGCTTCTGCCTGCCAGCCTGATCACCCCCTAACTGCTCCCCTGCTGGCCTGGTCATCCCCAACTGCCCTCCCCTGCCGGTTTGGTTGCACCCAACTCCCTCCCCTGCTGTCCTAATTGCCCTCAAATGCCCTCCCCTGCTGGCCATCTTGTGACCACATGGGGGCGGCCATCTTGTGTGAGGGTGTGATGGTCAATTTGCATATTACCTCTTTATTATATAGGATTGCAGAGCAAGGTCTCAAATTTACATCTGCCTGGCTTCAAAGTTCATCTTCCAACCATCCACCCTGGTGTCCCTTACGTAATGATACATCTGGTTAGAAAACACCTGGCAAATGATTTCTATGTGTGTAGGGTGGAACTAAGTTGATCCGTGGAGTGGTTTGGGGAAGTGAAGCCCCTAAAATAATATACAGAAATGTATCCAGTTTTTAAAAAAGATCTTCCCCTAAAGGGATTTAGGGCCCCTCCACAAGGTAAGATCCACTATATGAGAGAAATTTTGTACCTTCTGGAAACGATCCTAAAAAGAGAAACAAAGATAATACTAGCTATTTTGTGCCAGATTAAAGGTAAGAAAGCTCAGGTCTGACCCAGCATATACATTTTTTTCCTTTCACTTTGGATATAAGGAAATCATCTTATCATATTTGGTAAGATGCTCAAATGAGCTAAGCTTTATGTAGTCTTCCATGAGGGGGAAGGTCACCCAGATTGTATGTGTGTAATCCCAGAATCTAGTCACCATGTAGAGCTAATTTTTCTAATATTTTTCTGTGCAAAAGAGCTACAGCCCCTATATGGCCTCTCTCTTGCAATGGATTTCAAGGCTACACCCTTTTTTTAAGGCAGTGGAACATTTCTTTTAAACATGCTCTTACACTGAACCTCAACATATAAAACAGCCCTAAGTGGAGCTTCTGTGGTTGATACAGGAAAAGAGGCTCACTCATAACCTCCCCTCTCCCCTCCCAACCTACAGATGCCAAAGAAGCAGCCTTCACTCCTTCAGTCCAAATTCTGCATTTGAGGTAGAGTCTTCAATTGAACACTGTGCCCACAATCTGTCTCTGCTTTTAAGGGGAGGGAGAAGTCCATAAAATCAGGTTTCAAAGTAGATATTTTTTTCTTTAGTAACCAGAGGTAGGGACCTTAGTCATGACACAGTGGGAGAAAAAGTAAATGTTTTATTTAGATAAATTAAAATGGTTGTATTACTGATATGACATAAGCAAAGTTCAAATCAAGCCATGGAAACCTTGAATTCACTTCCCAAACAGAACCAAAACTGCTTATACATTACCAAAATAGCTCCACTAAAGCAAAGTAGATTGACATTTCTTAATGTGAGAAAACAACAAGGTAGGTTAGGTTCATATAACAAACAATACACGCTCTATAAAGTCTCAGGAATACCCAAATGTGTTCTGGTTTGGATATGAAAGGAGGGACTGCATCTAGCTGGTGTTGGTAAGCAAGCCAATGAGGTGTGTAGCACACGAAAGCTGTCACTAAAAACAACTCAACAGCAGGCCATTATGAGTATGAGCCCATTACAGCCAGAAGCTTCAACTGTGACCGGCAAGACCAGCGGGGGCGCCGACAGTGTTCTGTCCAGCAACATAAAGTGAGAAAATGCCAATGGAGGGACAGTAGCCAGTAGGTGAAGAGTGTTCGTTCTTCAGCTTTGCTGTTTGAGGCACATTCCTAAGTGCCAGGCCCTTCTCTGCCCTTAAGATAACATCACAGTCATCTCTAAGCTAATTCTCTCTTCTTTTGGTTCTTTTCTTCCTACAAAACACTTTTGCCCTTTAAGTAAACATTATATCAGATAGTACAAGACAAAAGAAAACAAGGACCAAGCAGCAGTGCTTTGGGTAACTCGGGAAAGCAGCAGTAGGAGTTGCCAGAGTGGGAAGGTCAAAGTAACTGAAACCAAAACCAAAACCAAACTCACCACTACTGCTGACCTTCCTTTCAGAGCTGAGATGTGGCAGGTGAGGCTTGATTACAGTTTAAGACAATTTACAAATAAAAGTGCCAAATTAAGACTGAACAATAGGTTTCTGAGGCTCTTCTTAGGCCAATGAATCTGCTCAACTTCGAACAAAGGAGTTCAAGTGCCCTAGTTCTGCCTGGGAGATAGGGCACTTTCCCAGGCTGTGTGACAAGAGTATTCTCAAGTCTGAGAGGGCAGCAGGAACACCTCTGCCAAATTGGGTAGGGGTAGAGGATGGTACTATATACCTGGCTCAGGGCTGATGCTAGCCAGACACACTTGAGATGAGAATGGATGATAAACTAAAAAACAAAATGACTCCTTCACGGGTAGCTCTCTGATGCAAAAGAAAAGTACGTACAACAAAGAGTTAAGGTGTCTTCAAAGTATATGCCTATGAATAAGAATTTGAAACTAAAAAGGACAAGCTACATTACCCCCAAGTATATTTCATATAAATCAGTTCCCAAAAAAATACCTTCCAGGTAGACATACTATTTATGGTACAGTATATACAAATATAGCAGAATAATTCAATTTATTGCTAGAGTGTTATTTGGTTGTTATAAAATCCGTCAGGGTATATATATTAAAAAAGGGGGGGTGGGCATGGAAGGCAGCCAGAAGAGTACTCTTCAAGTTACCCAAAGTGCTAATTTTATACCATATTTTAACCTTTCCAAGAAAGTGAAATAGCTCAGTTGGGCAAGGAAAAATATTTTTTTTAAAAGAAAGAGAAGCATAAGCCATATGAGGTAAGCAGACACATTCATGGGAAAAGACTTCATCTTGCTTTAACTAAATTTTTATATTTCTAGGGAAAAAAAATCAAGGTTAGCCTACACCAAGCTGAGTATCATACAAAGAAAAAGCAAAACAAAACCAGCCCTTGAATAGTTAAGGATGTTTGGCTGCATCCATGGCTAACTGGGCAACTTGGACAAAGTTAAAATGGAAAAAGTTAAAATGGAAATGAGTTCCACTAAAGAAGTCAGTATACGAAAGCGTCTCTAGTTTCTCCCTGACGTGGCCTACAGCACAGCTAAGTTTTGCAAAGTTTTTTCCTTATGTATTCTTCAGAGACTCCTTCTAAGAACACAGCACACACAGATAGCATGGAGGTATCAGGCTATGGAAGTATTTAAAGGGAAAAGTATTGCACTTGCTTGCATTAGATCTGAACACACTTGCTACCATCATGTAAAGCCCAATGTTTCAGGCCTGTCTGCTATGCTTGGCATTCTCTGGACATAAAGCTTCCAACTACTTCTGACCTGATAACCATGAAGAAACTTAATAAATAAATGTTCACAACTGTTATGGCCTTATCCCCCAGAGGAACATATTAGGCTCTTTGTTAGCCCTCATGTAAAATCTGTTTCCTGGGTCAGAATTAAAGGCACAGCTCTCCTCTAAAGCTCCTGGGCAGCCAGGCTGAGCCAGTGACCAGGGACTTCAGCCCTGCCATTCAGAATGGAGATAGTATCAGAGGGGGAAGTCACCCACAGCTTTAAGATAGACTTGAGTGCGTGCGTGTGTGTGTGTGTGTGTGTGTGTGTGTGTGTGTGATAATCCTGCTCACTCAGGGAGGGAAATATATCCCCTCACTGGATAACTTTCTATGTTCATAAACCCTGAAATAGGATAAAAAATAATAAAAATGCCAAGAATACTCTCTGGTTCACAGCTTGCGATTAGCTAAGGGGACAGAAACAAAGATATAGATCTTACTTTCCTGCGCCTGGAGGCTGCACTGTCCCCCCTATCCACTCCCTAAATATATTCCTCTGGCTACCAGACCAAACCCCATGGCAGCACCTAAAGGAGATGCCTGAAGGAGACATGGGCCTAGTTTTAGTCGCTACCAGATCAAATTAGCGATTTTTGACAAGCCATTTATTCATGTCCTGTTTCAAACCATTTCTCCTAACTTCCCACAAAATATGCAGAACTCTTCTTTCATTTTAAATATTTATACACAGAAAAAGCCTATCTTTTAAAGAAAAGACATTTTCTGAGTCTGAATAAAGTGCAGCTAATTTAAGGCAGATTTATGTGAAATATAAAAGGTGGCTTAGTCTTACTATATACACATTTTCTAGTTCTAAAAGATAAGGTCTCCTTCCCTCAAAAAAGGAAAGAGAAAGAAAGAGGGCTTGACTTTTATTCTGGCAATTTTAGAATTAAGATCATACTGGTTTCAGGAAATCATAGATTTCTGAATATCATTAAGTAAAATGGTCTTTTTTAAAAAAATAACTTTTATATAGCTTTTTCAAACAAGTTAAAAGGTTGCAATGTGTCTGCTACAATAGTTTGGAGGATTGGAGGACTGATAGATAAATAGAAGGGTTGTTTTTGTTATGCGAGCAGATATTAGGTAGCCCAGGGTATATATCCGTTTCTAAATATGACCAATGAGGCTAGACACCTACAGCTGCTCTTAGCTCCAGGAATGAGTATCTTCCATCTCCATCAGCATCAAACTCTCTCAAACTCTCTGGTGCTGGCATAGCAGAGCCTAAGGAGTTCCAAATTTCCTGGTAGGTCAGCTTCTCATCCATGTTCTGGCCAGTCTTGTAAAATAAATCCTCAAGATCTGTTTAAAAAAATTGCAAAAAGCATTTATGTCTATAAATATAGCTAAATTTAGTTAACAGTTTAAACAATAGCCACAACTGAATGTAAAGCATTAAAAGAAAGCTACTTTGCAGACTCTGATTCCAAAAGGTAAAGTTTAGGATATCACTAAATCAGAAAGACTAATTCTTTCTTGATCCTTGAGAGAAATACTATATGGCACTAACCTCCCAAAATAGAAGCAGTGATAGATAATCACAGGAGAATAAAATAGACTAGCCTTTTCTCTGTCCAGGGCCTTCCTTTTGGAATTTTCAGATTTTATTCTTATGTTGAAGGGGTGAAAAGGACTACAGAGGCTTAAAGAGCTAACTGACAGGAGCCGAGCTTGTAAAATAGACTCTGGCATTTTGTCAGTTAAACAGAGTTATCATGTGACCCAGCAATTACATTCCTAGGACATATTTAAGAGAAATGAAAACATGTCTACACAAAAACTTGTATACAAATGTTCATAGCTACATTATTCCTAAAAGCCAAATGGCAATCAATTGATGAATGGGTATACTAAGTGTTCATACAATGGAATATTATTCAGCCATGAAAAGGAATGAAATACTGTTACATGTTGAACTTGGATGAACCTTGACAACATTATGCTACATGAAAGGAATATAATGCAAGAAAAAAGCATATATAAGTTCATATATTGTATGATTCCATTTATATATGAAATATTCAGAATAGGCAAATCCAAAGAGACAGTGGTTGAGAGATTAGTGGTTGTCAAGGGCTGGGGGAAGGGGAAAAAGGGAATGACCATTTAATAGGTACAGGGTTTCTTTTTGGGATGATAAAAATGTTCTAGAATGAGTGTGATGGCTGCACAAACTTGTGAATATACTAAAAAAAACTGGATTATACATTTTAAAAGAGTGAATAATATGGAATTATATCTCAATTAAAAACAACCAGAGGACTATACAGGGTGGGGCAAAAGTAGGTTTACAGTTGTTTGTATGGCAATTCTATAATAATAAAAGCACAATATGCTTATTAGACCAGATGTCCTTCCAGATGACCTTCTGGAGGAAGCTGGGGCTGCGAGGGAAGCCTGGGTCCCGGGTGCCTGCTGGTGGCCGGAGAGAAGCCCGGGTCCCGGGTGCCTGGGTCCTGGGTGCCAGAGGGAAGCCGGTGCTGGCAGCCAGGGGAAGGAAGGCCTACTCTTGCATAAATTTCATGCATCGGGCCTCTAGTACAATAATAAAGAATAATACAATAATAAACTCTGTGTCACGTACTCACAAATATAAATCTGTTTTTACCCCCTCTGTATATCTCTTCAAAGCTATATCTTTTCCAGCTAAGAGAGAGAGCAATTATACCAGTTGATACTTTTTTTTAATTTAAAAAATATCCTCACCTGAGGAGTGAGGATATTTTTTTCATTATTTCTAGAGAGAATGGAAGGGAGGGGATGTGGGGGAGGAGAAAAAGAGAAAAACATTGATGTGAGATAGATGCATCGAGTGGTTGCCTCCTACATGCACCCTGACCTCAGGTAGGGGATTGAACCTGCAAGCCAGGTACATGCCCTTGACCAGGAATCAAACCCCTGATCCTCTGGTGCACAAGCTGATACTCTAACCACTGAACTACGTTGGCCAGGGCTGTATCTTCTTTTTTATTTCTAAGATATTACTTGAGCCAATAGAATTGGACAATTTCTATCAACAGTCTCTGCTTGTATTTTCTCATGGACCCCATAATGAACACTTATTTAATTTAATTAATAAATAATTAAAAATTCTTTATTTTTTAAATTTAAATTCTTCATTGTTTAAAGTATTACAGATGTCTCCTTTTCCCTCCACTGACCTTTCCCTGGCCGCTCTCACCCCCCAGAACATGCCCTCATCCCCGCTACTGTCTGTATCCATTGGTTATGCTTATATGCATACATACAAATCCTTTGGTTGATCTCTTACTCACACCCCCTCCCCTGTCTTCCCTCTGAGGCTTGACGGTCTGTTCGACGCTTCTACGTCTCTGGATCTATTTTTGTTCATCAGTTTATGTTGTTCATTATATTCCACAAATAAGTGAGATCATGTGGTATTTATCTTTCTCCGACTGGCTTATTTTACTTAGCATAATGCTCTCCATGTCCATCTATGCTGTTATAAATGTAAGAGTTCTTTCTTTTTTACAGCAGTGTAGTATTTTATTGTGTAAATGTACCCCAGTTTTCTAATTCACTCATCTGCTGATGGGCATTTAAGCTGTTTCCAAAGAGGAGGGCCAATTATTTACATAACTTTTAAAAAGGACTTAAGCCCTGGCCGGTGTGGCTCAGTGGTGAGAGAATTGGCCTATACACCAAAGGTCTTGGGTTCCTAGTCAAGTGCATGTGTCTGGATTGCAGGTTTGAACCCCAGCCCCTGGCCAGGACAGATGCTGGAAGCAATTAATCAATGTACCTCTCTCACACTGATGTTTCTTTCTCTCTCTCTGTCCCCACTCTCCCTTCCCTTCCACTCTCTGAAAAGCAATGGGAAAAATATCCTCAGGTAAGGATTAACAAAAAAATGAAATAGGAAAGACTTGGACTTGATTATGTCCCTACTGAATGGCTTAGTAGATTTAGTCTCCACTATCAGAAGATAGTCAATGAGGCTTATGTTTCTTTAAAAATCTTCCTAAATTCCTTTCCTTTCTTCCTTTATTCAACTTCACACTTAGATTCAATAGGCCTCTGGCTGTTTGGTACTTAGCAAGAATAGTAATAATTTGAAGGGGGGAAACAGTTGCAGTGCAAGGTCTAGTCCTTCAAGGAGTTTTTGTAGACAAGCTTCTGAATAAGGGCCTAATTTCACTCTTAAGATAGCCCAGCAAAGCAGCTAAATAAAAGTCTTGAAAGCGAGAAAAGCAGGTGGGAAGTTTGTTCTCAATGCCTGCCACCAAGTGGCTAGCTGAATAATGTTTTATTGTGTGTGCATATGAAGCATAAGTTAATAAAATGTGCTATGCACTTGGTAGCAGTACTTAAATAAAAATCTAATTGCTGTTGCAGATCATTTCAAAAGTGTAGTCATTCAAAAGTATGTAAAATCTATGTTAAGTACAAATGTTAAGATGGCTCGTTCTTAATCTGCTCTTAACAGACTTTCAACTCCATTCATTCTCATCAGTTCCTGAAGTAATAATGCAGAGTGGAAGGAGGCAACTTATATTGCCAATAAACACAACTTAATACTCCCGTCTCCCAGAAAACAGAAAGAAAACGAAATTATGATGGGGAAAAAATAAGTAATTGTATTTAAATGGCAAAATAAATTTAGGTCTTCTATGCTTCTATTGTAGCCTGTAGATAACTCATTCATTTAACAAATATTCATGTGTACCAGCCACTATGCTAGGGGCTAGGAATAAAGTTAAATTTTGTCTCCCCAGGAAATTACAACAGAGTGATACATACCAAACAGGAGCAAACAAAATGGAAGAGGTCATACACAGAAGGAACCTTATCTGGTCCTGGGAGGTAAGGAAATGTTCCCTGCTGGAATGGTATCTAAGCTGAGGTGAGGAGCCAGGCAAAGGCAGTGGACAGGAGTGGGGTGATTTTTCCAGGCTGTTAGCAAATGCAAAATCAGGAGACCCAAACATCACAATGAGGGACAGAATATACACTGTTGGGAGCAAGGCAAAGATATTTTCCTGTGAATCATATCCTTTTTGCTATTGTTTATCTTACTGATTTTTCAGCTAAAGGACTCCTCATTTTGGAGGGTCCTAACAAATAGGATCAACTTTTACTTTATTTTTCTAATCTTACAGTATTTATTATGTTTTCTTGTTTGCCTTCTCCACTAGACTTTTATATCTGTGAGGAATGTGAGACTGTATCTTATACTGTATTGTTATTGCTTAGCACTGGGTATAATTAGGTACTCAATGAATGAATGAAAACTCTAAAAACATTACTAGAGAGATAATATAGTTCATTGGTTAAGAGTGTAAATTTTGGTGTCAGACTGCCTTGGTATGAATTTTGCCTCAATTAATTATTTGCTGTGTGGACTTAGGCAGTTTTCCTATCAGTAAAATGAGTATCATATATGAATATTTATGTTCCCTGAATTGTTAATTAGGATTATATAATACAAATGCCTATCAAATATTGGCCCAGAGGAAGTGCTCAATGTTATATATAATTCTTTTTCTTGCAAGTTAAAAAAAATTAAAAAGTTATAACTTTGAACATTTCCCTTATTACTTCATGGTATAAAAATTTACCTTTGATGCTAGCGATTCCTGGTAGGGAGATAGATCTTAGCTGGGCAGTTTTCTCAATGTCACCTCCAGGAGACTGTGGAAATTCTGGAAATGCTGATGGCTTTGATGTGAAACTCTGTACTTGCTCTGTAACAAATACACATGGTTTTAGTATCAGCAAGTCTGACACAAAGTTAAACCAGCATTGAAGGTCATCTCTTAGAATAATTACATATATACTGAATTTAAGAGAAATTGCTGACAAATAGACAACCTACTGAATGAAAGAAGATATTTACAAGTGATACATCTGGTAAGCAGTTAATATCAAAAATTTATAAAGAAGTTATACAACTTAACACCAAAAAAAAAAATTAACAGTCTAATTAAAAAATGGGTAGAGGGCCTTAATGGACACTTTTCCAAAGAGGACACATAGATGGTCAATAGACATATGAAAAGATGCTCAATATTGCTGATCATCAGAGAAATGCAAATTAAAACCACAATAAGCTATTACCTTACACTGTCAGAAAGGCTATCATCAATAAATCAACAAAAAACAAGTATTGGTAAGGATGTGGGGAAAAAGAAACCTTGTGCATTGTTGATGGAAATACAGATTGCTATAGCCATTATGGAAAACAGTATGGAGATTCCTCGAGAAATTAAAAATGGGCCCAGCAATTCCATTTCTGGGTCTATATCCAAAGAAATCCAAAACACTAATTCGAGAAGATATATGTACCCCTATGTTCACTGCAGTATTATTTATAACAGTCAAGATATGGAAGCAACCAAAGTGCCCATCAATACAGGATTGGATAAAAAAGTTGTGGCACATATATACAATGAAATATTACTAGGCCATAAAAAGAATGAAATCTAGTAATGTTGCAGATGGACCCAGAGCAGTGATTTCAACTGGTGTGCTGCAAAAAATTTTACAACATGCAATACCTGACCACTTAGTGAGGGGCACCGGTCTCTTCTCCCTTAGATTGTAAAATAAAAAAAGACAACAGCCAACACAATGATATCTGTCTGGTGTGAATGCCCTGCTTGAACCATGAATATGTAGGTCATGTAACAGAGTTGCACCTTACTGGTCAAATCGCATAAGGTTGATTAGTTAATTATTGGTACCAGAAACCCTTATATACAAGTATAGGCACCCAGTTTTTTAAAATGTCACTTTGGAGCAAAAAGAGTTGGTAACTATTATTATTATTGGTAAATAAATCAAAATTATATCTATTTTTTGGGTCAGATTGGCAAAAAAAATGTATTTTTTTGTTGTGCTGCAGAATTTTAGTATAATTAGTTTATGTGTGCTATGAAATGAAAATGATTGAAAATCACTGACCTAGAGGGTATTATGCTGTGAAATAAATCAGGTATAGAAAGAGAAATATATGATTTCACTTATATGTGGAATCTAAAGAAGAAAGTAAATGAACAAACAAAGCAGAAATAGACTCATAGATACAAAAAAACAAACAGATGATTGCCAGAGGAGAGGGGAGTTGGAGAACTGGACAAAAAAGGTGAAGGGATTAATAAGTACAAATTGGTAATTACAAAAACAGTCATAGGGATATAAGTTCAGCGTAGGGAATATAGTCAATAATATTGTAATAACTATGTATAGTGCCAGGTGGGTACTTGAAATATATGCAAATTACATGGTTGTCAAACTACCATGCTGTATATCCAAAACTAACATAGTATTGAATGTCAACTGTAATTGAAAAATAGAGAACTAAGTAGCATAGTGACTGAATGAGTTAAAGGCATAGATTGGACATGTTTAGGGCTAAGTGAAGATCAATCAATATTATACAACATTAAGGTTTGAAACTGTGGTCTCTGGTGTGGCTCAGTAAGGAGCTGTGGTCTCACTGCAAGATCATATAGCACCAGTACACGTTTAAGATGTTAAGAGTTTAAGCTGCAACTGAAAAAGCATTGATATTTGATATCCTGGGAACTGTGCTATGAGCCTGATCAGGGGTATGTGCCACCAGACCAGCTGGTGCTGAAAGAATGCTACCATACAGTTGTGTAGCAGAATGTTAGCACAAAGCCTCCTTCTGTAGTCTGTATCCCACCCAAAAGAGAATAGAGAGGTTGTATTGCTAAGAAAAAATTAAAAAATACTTGTGTGGGGGGGAGGGGTCAAAACCAGCATAGTCCAATGCCTTAGAGTTATGTCCTCCTAGAGCTTAAACCAGTGGAGGTTGATATATCTGCCAATATTGACTAGGTATGCCCCTACCTAAAGCCAAGGGTCTTTCCAACTCAGTGATCCCATCATCATTTGTTAATGGTATTTCAGAAGGACTAATAATTATTTTAAAGTAAATTTTATGCACTTAAAAATTGAAAAGACTTCCATAAACATTTAGCTGCTTTAATACATGCTATGACAGTAATGTTTTTTTGCCTATAATTGGATGCAGACAGCATGGAGAAGTCTATTTCCAGCTAAACATTACCCTTCTTCCCTTAATAGACTGGAGTACAAATCATGTACCAAATGGGCTTTTGCTAAATGAAAGCAAAGTGTATCAGCTTCATCTCAGTGCGCTCAGGCATCATTCACTGGGTTCGATCAGTCCTGCTGGAACACCTTTCCACTCCATGTGGGAGGCAAGCTGCTCAAGCCTGCGTGAAATATTCAGAAGCCAGCCCTGAATATCTCACCTTCATGGGTGGTCTCTGGAGGCCTGTTGCTCTCAGGCTTGTTGGAGAGAGCACTGATCAGCTGTAGTTTCTCTCTTAGCTTGGATACCTGAGAATCTGAACTATCTTCTTTCTGTCCAAAACAAAGATCACAGAGGTATAAGTTGGAAACAAGACTTCATTTGATTCTTTATTATATTCCCAAAGCCTTTTTAGCATGCAGTGCTTGACCCCCAGGAGTTCCCTATCAGTACAGGCAATGAAGGGATGAATCAACAAATACTAGAGATATCTTCGGTACTCAGTGTTGATGAGGGCCTAGCTGGATTTGAGCCTAGACCATTAAGGGAACATTATGCTAGAGATGATCTGATTCACTGTGAACATTTGGCTGATGGGGGAAGGCATGCCTGTGTCAGCAGTAAAGGAAATGCCCCCTTGCTCAGGAGCCTCTACGACACCTATTTCCTAAATGAGTAGCATATTGGTTTCTAGGAGTGATTTCACACTAACTAAATAATTTTCCTGAATACATTACTTCACCTTGTGACTAGACCACTTTAGGTAGAGTTTTATGCTCTTATCACATTAAAAAAAAGCAAGCAAACCACAAATATTCCCCTGATCTTCCTTCTCTCTCCCCATGGTGATGATTCAACTGGTGGCAGGAACTGTTAGGAACATGAAGAAGCAGCTCTAATACTTCTAATTCAAAGTCTCATTTATATCTTTTTAAAAAGCTTTTTACCTTATACCCTGCCTCATCTCCAGGATGATCTAGACTGGCATATAAAAATAAATTTAATTATAAAAGGAGAGAAGTCTGGTTTCTATGAAGCCTGTTTCTAACTGCTTAGGCTAGGGTGAAAGGTCCTGATTCTGTGCTTAATTAGAATATCAACTCATTACGTGTTTCTTTTATTCAATATATATTTACTTATTTCTCTGCTGCCTTTATTTCTACACTAATAGTGTATAGATCACTCTTGGCTTATTTAGGAAACTAATATATGGACATATATAACTAAAACTAGGTCCTAACTGCTTGAAGAATTTATGATAAGAGAAATGGCATCTGGTTAGGATGCTTAGATGAGGCAGCACAAAGGGACTCATATATTGAGATGACAAAAAATACAAAGGGTCTAAAAGTAAAACCAATAAATTTAGGCAAAAATGTGTGCTAGCTGTATTTTATTCTGATACCCCAAGACTTTCTTTGCTGGGATATCAGAGTATACCACAGATTGCTTATCTTGTAAATATGCCTGGGATGAACAATAAAACAGAAAGGTACAAGGTGAAGGGAACTGGCTGAGGCTTAAATGGACTATACAAGTTCTGAGACTGCAATTTAAAAATAAAAAATAATTTTTAGGTTAGACACTGTTTTTAAATTATCTAAGCCACTGTTCCCTATCATTAGTACATATAACTTTCTGTCTTAGCTTAAAAGTCATTTCCTTAGGAAAGCCTTCCTCATCTCTGCTAATGCCCTCATCATATCCTATACTTTTCCTGCCTAGCATTTATCACACTCACAATTAATTATCTGTTCAATTATGTGTTAATGATTTTCTGACTGATGGACTTTGAGCTCCACCAGAAGAGGGGTCAGGTGTCTATCCTGCTCAGTATGGTCACCCCAGCTCCTAGCAGAGTGCTTGGCACAGGGCAGGCACCTGATAAAGTCTTCACTTATTCAATAATTTACTGTGTCTTGAAGTTTTAGCAAATTAGACTGAAGTGTTCCTTTTGAGAAAGAAGCAGCAGTTCAAAAGCACAAAGATGCAGATGCATTTATCTTTATGTCAGAGTAAGCTTCCTGTTATTTACCTTTATGCTTTGAGTTTTTACTGCATCTACTCTGCTGGTCACCTGATGCAAAGACTCTCTTTTCAGAGTGGCAGCTCTATCACCTATCTTAAAGGGTAAAAAGAACAAGAGAAGATTAAAGGTAAACATTAAAACTTACACAATATCTAGCACTTTTTACGAAATTTGGTCAAACTTATTTTAAAGCTCTCAGAACACTTTCTGCAGAAATACCAGAAGGAGAATGAGAGAAGAGAGGGAGAAAGGCAACCAAGATAGAAAGCTGAAAATGGTGCTTAGTGCAGTTGATTCATTCTAACTTTAAAACTTTGAAGTATAAAAAGCAAGAGAACTTTAACCTAGAAGCATGCTGAGATACTACTGGAAGAAGCAGTAAGACAGATCTTACTATTATCAATTTCCTGTTCTGGAGAAAAATACAGTGGGAGGAGAGGAACAGTAGGGGAAGTGTGCGATGGTAAGTTTTCACAATAAGCCTCGAAAAACTTGGAGGCCTTCTACTTATCAAATCATCCAAAATTCCTAGCCCCTGTTTAGTTTAGCAGAGTTCAAAAGCAAGGCTCCCTTTTACAGTAAGGCCCCTTTAATCTTTGCAGATTTGTAGTCAATTACACACCCTGTAAAACAGAAGAGGGACAGGTCTTACTCCACCCTCCAAGCCAAGTCGAGGCAATCTGCCAACGCTCCACTATGGCAGAGCCAGTTCTAACACTGCTTTCTATGTGCCAGTTTGACTTTATTTGTGGGCTTTCTTCTAGCTTTGGTGGTTACTTAAATTCACAGTATAATTTCCTGTATTTGGTTTCCATTTCTTTCTATATGCCTATATCTTGCTGTATGAGATCCTTAAAGGTGAGGCTTGCAACTATTAAAAAAACAATCCACATGGATCCCAGCACAAGGTATATGAGGAAAGGTGATTAAAGAAACACACGATAATGTGAAAACCAGTAAACCACATGGTCGGCTAGCATCCAGTTTCCTCGCATGTAAAATGGGAAGCTGGACTCAATGATCTCTTAAATTGAGGAGCTGGTCAGTTCTGACCTGTTATTTAAATGGCTTTCCTGACCTTATATGCAAAAGTATATGTGCAGATGGAGGAGGGTAAATCTGAAAGCCAAATTCTGGCTTAGTGAAATGGCAAAAGATTCTTCAGTTATGGCCACTGACATTGCTCCTACCCATAACAACTTAAAAAAGATCAAGACCTCACTTAGAAATATGTGCCAGAGCTTCCCTACCACTTGCAACAGAATAGGAGGCTTGTTATCTCTGCCAACAACTTGTGGTGAGCCCTGGGAAAGCAACTAAACCTCTCTACATCTCCCTTCCTAATCAGGACAAACACCGCCTGTGCCACGCACATCACAGAGCTAGTGTAAGGATTAGAGGAGACAAGGGTTAAGGATTAGATATAATACAAATGTGTAGCCTCTCAGATATGCCAGAAGTCTGTGTCTGAAAAGGTAGTGGACATTGCGACACAGACACGTCACTAAAGATCTGAAAAGATTTATGATGCTGACGGACAGGTTCGCTTGCTTTTCAATCTTGCTCATAGCAACCAAATCTCTTTCTACCAAGTTGACTCTGGGTAAGACTATTGACTGTCTCATTCATTCCCTTGAATTTAAGATCATTCTGCCTCTGATACCCCACTAGGCACTGTTTATCTCCTCTAAAGAGTTGTGGAGGTACAGGATATTCTGGAGTGGAAATAAATAAGTTGTGGAATCCTGCTAAAGATGTATGCTAGACAAGCAGGCCAGCAGCACTGAACCACCATTATTATGTCAAGTTATGGAAGTAAACTCCTTTTCCTGTTTAGACCATTGATCGTCTGTCTCTGCTTTGTCCTTCTACTCTAAATCGCTCTCAGTGTACACCCTCTGGAATTGTTTGCCTTCAGCTAGATAGGAGGGGGACAGAGAGAAGAGGACTACCTACATGATTCACTCTCTGGTCCCAGGAAGCTGAGAGGTTGGGAATTGATTTCCCAATGTTTACCTCACCTGCTGGCAGGAAAGCTTGCTGGGTTATTAACTGAAACATCCATTTACCTAATTTGTTAGAACAAAACTACCTTAGGAACAATACCAATTACTGAATTGGCTCATGTAGCAAAACTATAACAAGTAGTGCATTATTTAGTACAAGATTCAATTATTTTTATTGACATCCTTTAGTTACTGATTACTACTTAAATAGAAATGATGACTATAGGTTTTAAAGGGCATTAGACTCAGGACAGGAATTCTTCTTAGTGAAGATTTCCTTTATTTTCTTCATTGTGATTCTGAACTCAATACCCCTTTTCCTCCTTGTCTTTAGTCTTTAGAGAATCTTAACTTTTTAAGGATATGCTTTTTAACATTATTAGAATTTACTGTGGCTCAAAATAGCCACTGCTCTGAGTTCATCTGCTATCCATCCATCTTTAACTTGCCCAGATTGCTGTTTTTCATAGTTTCAGGATACTCTGGTCATTCTATGTCTTTCAAGATGTGAAAATAAACATACTCCACTGATTGACATGCGGGGCAAAAAACAGATTGCTAAATAAGAGATAGGAAAGCATCTTGGATCCCTATCCGAGCCCTCTCTGGTCAGCTCTCACGCAGGCATAAATATGCACAAGATGCCAGCTGAAGCCCCTGCCTCTTGGTGGGAATGGTGTCTAAGCCACATTGTAATGTGAGCATATAGAGCAGTGATGGCGAACCTTTTGAGCTCGGTCAGCATTTTGAAAAACCCTACCTAACTCTGGTGCTGTGTCACATATAGAAATTTTTTGATATTTGCAACCATAGTAAGACAAACACTTATATTTTTGATATTTATTTTATATATTTAAATGCCATTTAACAAAGAAAAATCAACCAAAAAAATGATTCATACTTTCGCTATCACTGGTATAGGCAATAAGTAATTACTAAATCTACTTAGCCATCTGGGATGATCCCAGAACATTCTAGCTTCTCACTGGGGCATCCACAGATTCATCAACATGGAGGGCAGATCTAAGAATGAGTGGAGAAGCTAGGGAGCTTTTGTACACCTTGAATAGTCCCAATTTCAAGTACATATAACTCATCTCCACAGCATGACAGCAGAGGTTGTGCTATCCTTTTCAGCCTTCATAAATCCTGAATGGAGCCGAGTATCCATTAGGAGATGAACTCAGGCCTCTGAATAACTGCAGACAGCTGACATCTGCACAGTGTGGAGAGACATTTGAAAACAACCCCTGAACACTGCAGGGGTTGTCTGTCTCACTTATCTGTTACTGCATAACAAATCATCCCAAAATTTTGTGGCTTAAAACAAGAATAATTTATTGTTTCTCAGGATTCTGTGGGTTGTCTAGGCTCAGCAGGGTGGGGGTGTTCTGTTTCACATGGTGTAGGCTGAGGTCACACATATGGCTGTGTTCTACTGGGAGCATGAACATCCAAAATGGCCTTCCATCCTCTGGAGCCTCTTCACTTGGCCTCTCATCATTCCCTAGTCCAGCCGTGGCAAACTACGGCCCGCGGGCCAGATTCGGCCCGTTTGGCTGTTCTACCTGGCCCACGGAACCGAAAGAGCGGAGGGTTCTCTTGCTCTCTCCTCCGTTCCTTCACCAGCAGCAGTGTTAACATGGCAACGTCGGGAAACACGGCCGCAGCTCCTTCTTCTGAGTCGAGTTTAAGAACCCATTGTGGCCCTCGAGTCAAAAAGTTTGCCCACCCCTGCCCTAGTCTAAGAGCCCTGCCACATTCTGGGCCCACAGAACAGTGAGAAATAATAAAGTGCTGTTTTAAGCCCTAAGTTGTGACGTGATTTGTTATGTAGCAATAAACAATGGAGACACTTCCCTACTTTCCTTTCATTCTTTTCCATTTTCCTTCCTCCCGTTCCATCCTCAGGTGTCTTATTTCGGTATCTCCTGCAGTACATTTGCAAAAGACTGAAGCTCTTCATTCTATCCACCTTAACTGCGTAATTTATAGATTGTGAAAATAACAATAAACACTGCTTACTGTATTTTTTTTTAAGGTGCATAGTAGGGTCTGTTTAGACAAATAGAAAGTGGGTACCCCTACTATTACTACTCAGAAAAGGGGAGGCAGGAGAGTGCTGACTTTCCGGAGTGCTTGTAGATTTCCTTACCAGGTCACTCTGTAGTAACTCCATGGCTTTCTTGTGTTCGTCCACAGTTTTCTGTATTGCCTCCACAGCAAGATGGACACTGTTTAAAGTATTGCCAATGGAGGCTACGCTCTGAACATAAACATATAGTAAGGTTAGTGTTTTTTCCTTTTTAAAAATTTGTATTAGATTTATTAAGATGTACCTGATTAAAGTGCACGTGTTCAAAATGTAAGTTTTGACATACATACACCTGTGAAACTAGTAACACAATCAAGATAATACACATCCATCACCCCCAAGTTATCCCTGTCCTTAGGCCACCACTGGTCTACTTTCTGTCACTACATATCAATTTGCATTTTCTAAATTTCATAGAAAGAGAAGCAGTGAGTATTTACTTTTTTAAAAATATGACTTCTTTCACTTAGTACAATTATTTTAAAATTTATCTATATTATAGTTACTCAGCTACATATGTAGCTGGGTAGCATTCTGTTGTATGGATACATTGTAGTTCATTTCCCTGTTGATGGATATTTAGGTTGTTTTCAGTGTTTGGCTACTACACATAAAGCTGTTATAAACATTAGTGTACATGTCTTTATGTGGGTATATGGTTATCATCACAATACCTAGAAGGTGAATGGCGGATCATATGGTAGATGTATACTTCACTTTTAAAAAAACTGCCAAACTGTGTTCTGAAATGGTTATACCATTTTATATTCCCACTAGCAGTGTATGAAAATCCCAATTACTCCATACCCTCAACACTGGTATCTGGAGTCTTCAATTTTAGCCATTCTAGTGGGAGTGCATATATCACTGATTTAAGTTTACATTAAACACCAATAAATGGAAGTCGGTGTTTTTAATTACTTCAGATATCTTCAAACTATGAATTTCATGTAGCTTATACTGACACAATTAACAGGAAAAAAAATCTCTATATAAAACTGAAGTGTCTGGACGACCAGACAACCAACCGGTTGCTATCACAAGCACTGACCACCAGGGGGAAGACACTCAACGCAGCAGCAGCAGCAGGCGCATTGGGGTTGGGATGAGTAGCAGTAGCGCAGGCAGAGCCTGCCGCTTCCTGCACTACTTCATGCTGTGCGGGATCAATGCGGACAGTGGAGCCCGATGAGCTGGTGGGTAAGGCCGGGCTGCGGCAGCGCGGAGGTTCACTGATCCCTGCAGGCCAGGCCGAGGGACCCCACTGGTGTATGAATCTGTACACTGGGCCTCTAGTATATATATATGTAAACAAGCAATTGTCTCAATTTAAAGGACTTTTCCTAGAGGAAAACCAAATCTTTCCTTTAAAAAACCCACTAGTTTATAGATTTGGAACCCATAGATAAGATTCTCCCACAAACTGTAGGCAGGCAGATGCCAGAGCTAACACTGTAGATTGCCACGGAGTTTGGAGCAAACGATGGCTTTTGAGTGAAAATGGGTGGAACCATTTCTGGCTTTGGGAAAACCAGCATCGCAGAGATGAAGTACAAATTCTACTTGGCATTATTGGTTCTTTTTTCACTTTAGAATCCCATCAGCAACTACTAAGGAGAGTCAGCTATGAGCAGTGGCTTACTCTGCTTTCATTAGCCGAAGAAGCCTAAGAGGACTGGGGACTTGGGAACATAACTCAGAAGCCGTCTTATTAAAAGCCCTGTCCTAAGGGAACACTCAAAAAAATGTTACTATTTGATGGGTCTTGACCTTTTATTAAGATAGACTGACAATTTTATGATGTCACATTAGTATTTTTAACCAAGCTCTTTTATATTACGCTGATAGCCAAGAATACAAGAGAACAAAAGATGACATTTTCAACATTAAAAAAAATTTACGTGAGTATACTAAGGTTAGGTATTTGAGATGAACTACCACTTCAAAACTGAGCCACTTGTAACAAAAGTAGTGTCTGACATTATTTATGCAAAAATTTGGAGAGACAACACCAATACACTGGTGCTCTGTTGTTACAGGCACTCAAAGACACCTCCTGTTAGAGAATCCTAACTGGCTGGATGTATGATCCCATCAGGATGCAAGAAGATAGTAAGCTCTTGTTCGGTATTCTCGGTAACTGCAAAGTGCCTGGCACACACTGGAAGAAGCTCCACAAATGTTTATTGAATTAATGAATGCAAGAATCAACCAGTTTCCTTCACGAATGCAAGACTGCCAGAGTCGCTTCTGTGCTAAAGGCGACAGAGGCCTATCTTTTTTCCTACTTGGCACTTGGGAACAATGGCAAGAAGTATTTGGCCTCATCAACGTGGTCCCTACTTTTGTATTTAAAGTTATAAACAGGTGACATTATTGGACAAATAGTAAGCTATGGAGACCAAGCTCACAAGTGGAGGGGCTATAAAATGGCAAGTTTTGTTTCTGTTTTTGGCTTAGGAAGTTCTCCTTGTAGAGACAATTTACATATTTATAGAGCCTGGCATATAGTCAAAGTTATCACACTAAATTTGAAAAGTTAAAGACTAGATTTGACTCCCTTGCTCCAGAATCCCTTCTTATATTTCCTGCTGCAAGGGCTGATGTTGCTTGGGTTCCAAGTAGGCCCCTTCTTCTTCCTATCCACTCTCCCCACCCAGCTCTAAAGATCCCTACGTATTACTCATCTGCTTGGTCACTGCCTCCTGCTCTTGGCCTGAATCTTAGGGATCAAAAAATCAGAAAATCCAAATTACTGTTTGCCTAGGGCAGTGGTTGGCAAACTCATTAGTCAACAGAGCCAAATATCAACAGTACTTCTTCAAAATAGACTTGCCCAGGCCGAAAACCAACTTCTGCACATGGGCCACGAAGTTTCAATCGCACTGTACGTGCACGCCCGCACGTGGTATTTTGTGGAAGAGCCACACTCAAGGGGCCAAAGAGCCGCATGTGGCTCACAAGCCGCAGTTTGTCGACCACAGGCCTAGGGTATATATGGAGTAAATTGCCTAGAGCAGAGACGGGAAATGTCCTGCCCTCGGGCCATATAAGCCCCAAGAAATCATTTGGTCTGGCCTTGCCAAGGCATTAGGCTTGAGTTAATTAGATGTTTGACCAAATATAGTAGGCTAATTTTTAAGTTGACAATTTTGTATGGCCTTCAGATGATGTTATAAATATCCAAATAGCTCTTGGCAGAAAAAGGTTCCCCACCCCTGGCTTAGAGGATGTGCACCTTTACCTTTATAAAACAACATACATTTTTTACCAAAATGCTTTTTACCATTTTTATTTCCAGCAGGAGTGTTTTAAAGTTTCCTTTGGTCTACAATCCTTGCTAATACTTATCACATCCTAAACTTTAAATGTTTGCTTTTCTTCAGATTATCTTTTTCTAAAAAATAAACAGTAATATAGAAGTTAATAATTTAGAGAAACTCTCATATACCATTGGTCTGCTTTCATGAAGACAAAGTGGATGATGAATCAAAAAGGCAAATAATGAAAAAAGAACCCACACATGTTAACATAGGAGTCCCAGTATAGCAATCTCGGGAATTGGAGAACCAAATAAAAAAGATGCAAATCCACATAAACCAGACCTAAAGTCACCTGTTGCAAATTAAATGCCCAACTAACTAGAACAAAACTGAGAAACTTTAAAATCTTTAGGACACAGTGATATGCTCTATTACTGCCCTCTTGGAGCAGGTGATTTCAAATGCCGGGTTTTCAAAGAAAACATCTAAGAAGCTAGAATTACTAGTACAGCAGTTGGTTAATCTCAGTGCCTATACATAGTACTTACCTTCTGAAGTCCCTCTACAGTAGCAGGCAGACTAATTAAATCTGCTGCTGATTTAACATTGGCTTTGAGGTGGTTTACTGCAGAATTCAACAGAGAAATCTGAAAGGAAGAGTAACAAACAATGAAAACAGAATTTGCACAGTGAATTCTTCCTTCACAGACTCTACATTTGATGCTGATGTCAAGGCACCCTTCGATTTTATGTACTTCTGTAATCCAGACATTATACCTTATTCAGCTCATACTTGAATAGACTGGAGATCTGAGAGGCAGCGATAATACCCCTTCTTTACCTACCCAATTTAAACACTAGTGCCAAAGAGAGAAAGGCAATTATTCTTTACCCTAACTCCTGGCAGCTACAAAATGTAAAAATCTTAAATTACCCAAAAGATGATTGCAACAGTGATTACAACACAATCCTTCAACAAAACGACAGAAAGAAAGCTAATGATCAAAGACCCCCGAAGGATTTCATTTCGGTAAAAAAATAACACCTTAGTTATTTACTGAACTTTTGTTCCTGCCCAAGTGGGAACATATAAAGTAAAAGCCCATCATCACAAAATACAGTCTACAGGAACTATACCCTGCCAACTTGAACAGCACTTTCAACTACTTGGGGATTTAGTTTTGGTTTAACAATGTGATTAATATTTCAAACTCAATAGCTCAACCAAAGCACTACTTTGTACCCCGAAGGTTCTCAATAAATACCCAGTGACTTGCGGACTGATGCACTGAATGTATTAAAATAGGAATTGAATCAAAATAAAATGTCTTCCCTTTTACTATTAGGGGTAGAATTCTACATACCTGGACTTCTCTCTCAGATGGGGGCTGGGGGAACCTTATAATACTCAATTTCAGGCTGCAGAGATCATATTCTTACAACCTTGCAGTGTGGCTCAAACACTCTTGAAAGACTCCTGGTTCCATACTGCTTTCCTATCCCAAATGCTAGAATGAGGACACAGATCTACCAATAGCAATTATATTCAGAGGGCCTCACAGAACAGCCACTAAAGTTTCTGGGCACTTATTCCATAAAAACGAAGTAAACCTGATCCCCTACTCTTTCCTTCAACAAATGTTTGGCATCTCCGTGTCAGGTTCTGCTGCAGGCACTGTGGAGATAGTGGCAAACAAGGCCTTGAAGTTTTGCTTTCATGGAGTACCCATCATAGTAGATGAGAGAAAAACAAAGAAGGAAAGTATCAGATAATAAGTACTATGCGAAGAAATTAAGCAGAACGTGGGAATGAGCAGCACTGTGTTCTGAACAAGGAGTCCAGTGAAGAGCCTGGTAACTTAGGTTCTCTTTTTCTTCTTTCCCTTTAGGAGGAAAATGTTCAGGGGCATCAAGCTACTTTTTATTCACTCATTACTGCAATAAATATTTATTGGGCCCTATTTTATACCAGGTGTCAGTGATCTTTTGGAGTTTACATTTAAGTGCAAGGAGACAATGTTATCTAATATGAGATAGTGGGTTATGTTAGGAAAAAATGAAAATAAGGAAACTTGATGAGTTACTGGATAACTACTTTAGATTGGATGATTAGAAAAAGCCTATATAAAGAGAAGACATTTAAACAGATCTAAATAATAAGAAGGAATTAATGAGACCTAAATTGAATGAAGTGCATTTGAGGGCAGAGGGAACTGCTGGGGTAAAGGAAAGAGCCTGGCATATCTGAAGAATAGAAAAAAGGCTGGTGGCAGAAGCACGTAATATGAGTGAGAAAGGGGGAAGGAAGGGAGAGGTGGAGGCAGGGAGGTAGAGGGTCTATCCCTTTATGGAAGGGAAGTAACATTAAATAAATAATTAAGTACTAAATGTGATAATACAGTTCTAAGAAAAGAACATCAGTGCAGACTGAACTGGACAGGATTCATAGAAGTAGGACTCCAATTAGACTCTGATGGAAAGATTTTATATATAAAAATAAAACAGGTATTCTTTTTAGGTTAGAAGGGTGAGTGTGGCATTGGGTAATAGGTAGGGAGCAACAACATTAATAGGCCCAGGAAAACTTTTTCTGCATGGCACTTCTCAAAGTGATGATGATTTATTTACTTGTGTAATTATGTGTTAAGTTTCTCAAGGATGGTAATGGTCTTACAAATGGCCAGTGTGGCTGGCTGGCAGCTACTATTTTTTCCCCAAACTAGAGGAGCAGCTGAAAGCCAATGACAGCAGGATAAGGTGAGATACTGTTTCACTTCTTCCCATGCCCCAAACTCTCTAGGCCTGGGTATCAGCTGCCTCACTGAAAGAGTTTGCTCTGGAGAGCTGACCATTAACTCTGTAATCACCAAACATCACTTGGGACTTCTTACTCATTTATAAGACCTGGACCACAAACTGGTCACTAGGACTCAGCTTTGTTCCCATAAACAGTAAAGCTGGATTCCATCTCTCAGCATTCCCTTCTTTTGAGTAGAATAATGCCACAATCCATGGAAAACTACAGCAAAGCTACATGTGTAACTAGAACGGAGAGACAAGGGGCTCCCTCCATTATCACTGGGACTGCTCTAGGATGTCAGATTGGATCCAAGTATTACAGAACTTATCTCTGATTCAAAGAGTCTAAAAAACTGAATTAAGTAGAAACCATTAAAATAAAAACCCAAATTTCAGCCAAAAGATGTCATGACATTTATGCATATTACATGACTTTTCATTAGCAAAATTAAAAATAGCTACTGTAGACCATTTTATACTTTGATATCTGAAATGCTGCTTTTTTTGCTTTGGGGTTAAAATTAAGTGTTCTTTCTTTTTAAACTATATTTTTATTGATTTCAGAGAGGAAGGGAGATAGAAACATCAATGATAAGAATTAATGATTGACTACCTCTTACACCCTGCCCTCCTCCCCTCCCCCCACCCCTTTACTGGAGATTGAGCCTGCAACTGCAACTGGGGCATGTGCCCCTACAAGGAATCGAACTGTGACCCCTTGGTTCATAGGTTGATGCTCAACCACTGAACTACACTGGCTGGGGAAGTGTTCTTTACATAGTAAGCAAAAAAGTTACTAAAACAGGCAACCATCAATGATGAATATGAGCTCTAGTAGGAACCTGACATCATACCTTTTCAACTTCATCTACTGAGCAGCTACTGAATTTTATAGCAGATATAAAGATGGAAGGCAGAAAGGAAAACTGGGAAAAAGACAGGCTCTTAGCACCTGAATATTTTAATGTTAGCACCTCTACACAGCTGTGCGACCTAGGGCTAGCTACTTCTCGGAATCTGTTTTCTTATTGGTAAAATGGAGATACCACCTCCTACTTCATAGGTCTATAGAAAAAGAAAAAAAGATTTCATATGTAGTACTTCTAATAGGAGTCTGCATAAAGAAAGCATTTGATGAATGGCAGTTATCATCTCAATTGCCATCACTATCACCAACATCACACAGCACAGAGTTCTGTGTACAACCTTCTAGTGTAATTAGATACAAACACAGTAGTCCCCAATTATACTCAGTTTTGCTTTCTGTGGTTTGTTACCTGTGGTTAAATGTGGTCCAAAAAGATTAAAGGGGAAATTTCAGAAATAAACTAATTCATAAATTTTAAATTGTATGCCCTTCTTAGTGTAATCAAATCTCCTGCTATCCTGACCCATCCCGCCACATGATTCATCCTTTTGTCCAATATATCCAGGATGTATACTCTACCTGCCCATTAGTCACTTAGTAGCTGTCTTGATTATCAGATGACTGTCATGCAGTGCTTGTGTTCAAGTAACCGTTATTTTACTTAACAATGGCCCCAAAGCTCAAGAGTAGTGATGCTGGCAATTTGGATATGCCAGAGAAGCTGTAAGTGCTTCCTTTAGGTGAAAAAGTGAAAGTTCTCCACTTAATAAGGAAATAAAAAAATCAGATGCTGAGGTTGCTAAGATCTTTGTTAAGAACAAATCTATTTGTGAAATTGTGAAGGAAAAGAAATTTGTGCTAGTTTTGCTGTTGCACCTCAAACTGCAATAGTTATGGCCACAGTGAGTGTTAAATGCTTAGTTAAGATGAAAATGGCATTAAATTTGTGGATGGAAGACATGAACAGAAAGTGTGCTCTGATTGATGGTAACATGGTGTGCCAGAAAGCATTGAGCCTATATAAAGACTTCAGCAAGGTGTCCCCTGAAACGATTAATTCCCAGCCATTTCTTGAAAGTAAGAGATGGTTACACAGATTCAGGAGATCTGAATTAAAAAATGTAAAAATTACTGTAGAGAGACTGCAGTTATATAACTTTTATTACAGTATATTGTTATAGTTGTTCTATTTCATTGTTACTGTTGTTAATCTCTTACTGTGCCTAGTTTATAAATGAAACTTGATCACAGGTATGTATGCATAGAAAAGACACAGTATATAGAAGGTTTGGCACTATCGGCAGTTTCAATCATCCACTGGAGGTCTTGGATAAGAAGGAACTACTCTGACTATCACATCATAAGATATCTGGACCAAGTACCAAAAAAACAGATATAGAACATACTATAGAACAGTGGTTCTCAACCTTCCTAATGCCACGACCCTTTAATACAGTTCCTCATGTTGTTGTGACCCCTACACTAATAAATAATTAGTCATAATCATAAAATTATTTTTGTTGCTACTTCATAACTGTAATTTTGCTACTGTTATGAATTGTAATGTAAATATCTGATATGCAGGATGTATTTTCATTGTTACAAATTGAACATAATTAAGCATAGTGATTAATCACAAAAACAATATGTAATTATATATGTGTTTTCCGATGGTCTTAGGTGACCCCTGAGAAAGGGTTGTTCGACTCCCAAAGGGGTTGCGACCCACAGGTTGCGAACCGCTGCTATTGAAGATGATGACCTCAAGGTCCTTGCTGACTCTTGCTGACATATCCTTCCTTACTTCTGGCCTCTTTCCACCAAACTACCTTATTAATAAAAGCCTATGTGGTCATCACGCCCTCATGACACCCTCATGCCATAATAAGCGATCACCAGGAGTCTGTGTGCGCAGCAGGCGTGCGCAGGTGGGCGGGGGCTTGATGCTGCGTGCACGGCTTGGAGGTGGGTCCCGTGAATCCACGAGGCCTGGGGGTCCCTCGGATCAGCAAGGTGCAAGGCGGGCCCCATGGCTCCAGCCTACCTCTTTGGGGCAATCATGGAGGAGCCCCAGGTGGGTGGGGCCTACCTCTTTGGGGTGATCAATTGCGGGGTTCCCGCATTGTGAGAGGGAACAGGCCAGGCTGGCCCCCCCCCCCCCCCCCGCCCCCTGTGCATGAATTTAGTGCATCAGGCCTCTAGTGCTATAATAAAACAAAAATCCCCTGAACACACTGTTTTTCATTTGTCTGTGCTTTTGCACATATACTCAATTCTCACTATTCACAGTAGTTATGTTCTGGAACAGAGATTTTCAATCAGTGTGCTGCAAGAATTTTGAAAACATGCAATACCTGAATATTTAGTCGGGAGCACTGACAAAATAAAAAAATGACAACAACCAACACAACAATGGCTACCTGGTATGAATGAATCAAAATTATACCTATTTTTTGGGTCAGATTGGCAAAAAATGTATTTTTTTGGTGTGCTGCAGAATTTTACTAATTAGTTTATGAGTGCCATGATGAAAAAGGTGGAAAATCACTGTTCTAGAAATTCACAGCAGACACTGAATGAGTGATTACTGAGCCATTGCTCCTAAGGGAAGTAGAGAGTTATGTTCCAAGAGTCCTCTGATCACAACATTTTTGTCAATTAATCAATATAATACATAACTTTGTTTTATGTGTATTTCTTTTAAAGATGTCTTATTTAATGTATATTGCTGAACTCGTGCCTGAATGCAGCTTATCCAACACATCTATTTTCACTGTAAGGCACAACACAGCTTTCTTGCACTCTGCAACGTTAGACAGACTTCAGCACTATGATAGTTGTACATTTAAAACAGCAGGATCACACACACAAAAACCGTGGCACTAAATACATCATGAAAAGAAAACTTGTTTACACTATGAGCTGAAACAAGGCAGAGTGTGGCCTTGTTTAACTTCAACTGGAAGCGCTCCTATTGGGTGACTTAAATTTTTCACCACTAGATTCCTGCCAATGAATAACTGACTGCAAAAGCACCACACGTACAGATTTTTAGGTTACAAACAAATTTTAGCTAGTAGGTGAATTTGCAAATATGGAAATCTGCAAATGATGAGGATCAAGTGTATTAAACAGGACACCCTCTCTCTTTCTATAGAATTTATCTGGCCAACTCCTATTAGCCAGCCCTTCAGGACTCAGCTCAAGATATATGAGAAGCTTTGCTTGAATCCAGCCAGTCTGGGTCAGAAACACCTAAAAAATGCCCCATAGTGCTCATATGGACCGGCTTCTTATTGCTTATTAGGCTGTTTTATAACTGTTTACTTTTATATTTCTCCTCCAATTGATGGTAAGAGCCTTGAGGGTGGGAATCCAAGGCCTAACTCCATAAAAGCAGTTCATTAAACATTTGTTGAATTAATGGTCTTTAAAGAAGGGAGCAGACTCCCTATAATGTTGAGAATGGACATGGTCATGTATGAAATTAGAAGTTTCATAAGTAACATAGAAAAGTAAATTGATTTTAACACTTTTTAAAAGATTTTTCAATACAAAATTTGATTTTAACTTCTTTCAAACTTTTTTTTTCAGGCTGCATTAACTTCAATTCATATTGTGATAAGGACAGTACTTGCTAAGTGATATACATTTTATTATTGTTTAAGCCACTTTGGATTTCTTAAAAAAAATTTTTGCCACTAAAAAGATCTAATTGACAGAGTTACCCTGAGATATAGTCACATGGTTAAATATTAACTTTATATCTGTTTTGGTTTTGGACAAATGCCTTTCTATCAGAAATGTATCACAATTTTAGAAAATCATTCAGAGAATGATGAGAAAGGCTAACATGGGCCAAATAAACAAGGTTTAAGTTTATGTGGGCCGAAAAAAACCAAAAGCTTCAATTTTCATAGAAATGTTGGTTTATTTCGATAGAGACATGCTGAATATAAAGGGCTGAAGTAAATGAATAATCACTAACATAAAACAACATTTTATAAAAATTAATATTTTTTCTTGAACATTAACTTACCAGACACTGAATAACTGCACAAGTTAATAAACATAATGCAAATAAACCTATTTTTCTTGTTCTCTGAAAGCAAAATATTTTCTGTTGTGCACACTTAACAAGTCAGTTCAAGACTAATGACATGGCAATTAGCTGCTAAAATATTCGCTGCTAGTATTAGTGGAGAGAAGTGTTGTGCCTGCACGTAAGGTGCATAAGTGAAATGAATGCAACATGATTATAATGATCAGTCATTAGCAAACGCTGTAGTTTGTTATTAATAATTATGTATAACAGGATATTGTAAAAATTAAGTTATGAAATTTTTATTAAAACGTTTCTTACATACCGCTATTATTGGCTGGGCCACAAAAATATTCATTGTGGGCCACATGCGGGTCGTGGGGCAAGATTTTGACATGCATGCTCTGGACCAAGCTAAAGCTCTGGTTACCACCACCCGTCCCTTCTGCACCCATGCCAACAAAGAATTTCTCTGCCTCAGGCTAGTTTCATCAGTCAGTCCCATCAACTTTGAAGATCTACTGAAGCTAAAATGGAAAGGGTTTCAGTTCAATCTCTCCTACTTTTATACATGAAGCTTTAGGACTGAAGTAAATTTCCTGTTTATCTTCTTTCCCAGGTACTTTTTGTTATTAAAAATAACAGCCAGGACAAGAATAAAGTGATTACTTTGTTTCTAGATTCCAAATTAAAGAGAACTGAGAAACCAAAACACATAGGAAAGGTTTGAAAACCGTGTCCTCTCACACCAAATACAAACTTCCCCTTTGACTCTTTTGTGCTGCTTGACAAGATGGGAATGTAGCTGACATTGCTGGCTCTTCATCCTGAAAGATCTCAAGCTGGCCCAGAACTGTAAACTCCATGACTATCTAAATGGAATCTCTGGTTTGCCCTAGTCAGAGATGTTAATTATTTCTCAGTGCTTTACTGTGGTTGATTTCCACTTGATGTAATCTCTGGTCAAACTGCTCATTTGCTCTGTGAATACAAGGCCAGTCCATCCTGTTCTTTTTGCAGAAAAAGGAGTGAATACTTGTTTTTTTCTAAATACTGAGAGTCCAAGGATAATACGTAATGAGTAAATACTGCAACTGATCAATTATTTCATGAATGACTAAAAAAAATGGAATAGAACAGAATAGAAAATAAAATATCATAAGGCATCATAAGAGTAAGCTAATATTTTCAGAAACTTTTATTTCAGTTACATATATGTATGTGTTTATTAGATAATGATGTAAAACATCTCTTATTGTAGGCAAAAGTTTTAAAGCTGCAGCACCAGGCCATTGACCTGTTCAACTGATGAACTGCCCAACTCCTGCACTCCTGCTGGAAGGTGGTGGGGGAGCTTCAGAAAGATGTGTAAGCCCTTTATCCTAGCATAGTGCTTCTCCTTGCCACTGGCTTATTCTGAACTCTGTGACTCCATTCTGAAGAAGAGAATATCCTCTTAGTGCCAACAAGAATGGCCCATCTATTTTTAAGCACTTTGCAGGTGTGCCATTCATTTGCTACTTGAGGTTTTTGGTTTTTTTTAATCCACATTTTTCCTAATTAAACTGCAAAAACTGAGGATAGGGGCTACAGTTACCCAGCAACAACTTTATAAATACAAGATCCTTGATCAAAAACCTTTTAGGGATTGGAAAAGTTTTTCCTCTAGGCCTGCTTGTCTGGCCAAGGTATTTAACCAACTCTGCCACTTCCTCCTATGCCAGTGATGGCGAGCCTTTTGAGCTCGGCGTGTCAGCATTTTGAAAAACCCTAACTTAACTCTGGTGCCGTGTCACATATAGAAATTTTTTGATATTTGCAACCATAGTAAAACAAAGATTTATATTTTTGATATTTATTTTATATATTTAAATGCCATTTAACAAAGAAGAATCAACCAAAAAAATGAGTTCGTGTGTCACCTCTGACACGCGTGTCATAGGTTTGCCATCACTGTCCTATGCTATGCTAGAATAACTATCATTAGATGTGGATGGTTTCCAGATAGGTTTTAGTATAGTACCTTGGTCGGCAAACTGTGGCTAATGAGCCACATGCGGCTCTTTGGCCCCTTGAGTGTGGCTCTTCCTAAGCCTTAGGAGTACCTTAATTAAGTTAATAACAATGCACCTACCTATATAGTTTAAGTTTAAAAAATTTGGCTCTCAAAAGAAATTTTAATCACTGTACTGTTGATATTTCGCTCTGTTGACTAATGAGTTTGCCCACCACTGGTATAGTATATAGTATATACCTCAAGATTGTGTCTGTAAGTTTATATACTCTTAAACAAAATAAGCTCTCATTATCTAATAAAAATATGCTATCCTTTTTCTTGGGGATTAGATGGCACTCTTTCTAAAAAAAAAAATTTATACCTACACTGCTCTTTATGAGAACTGACTCAAGTATTTCCAACTCCCTCTAAATTATTCTACTTTGTACATTATCCTTTGAAGAAGGGGTTAACAGGTTTAATTATTTGGTAAATGCATAACTATTACCTATTTTACCCGAATTTAATGCATTGGAATCACAGTTTACAAAAACCATATCAAAAAGTAAAACAATTTGGAGTTACCTATACCTACAGATTCAAACCAAATAGAACTAAATATTCATAGCTTACACAGAAATAAAATCACACTTTTGCTACCTGCTTATTCATTTCTGTGATGTTTATCCAGACCTTGTTCAAGCCCAGCTCTCCAGATTCAATCTTCTCAAGTTCTCTTTGTTTGCTGAGTAGTTCTTCATTAAGTTTGGGAATTTCTTGGAATGAACTTTTCTGATTAGATTCCACTAAAAGCAAAAATAAGAACAATCATAAATAGCCATAAAGTTCCCTCATGGCTCCAAGAAAAAAAAATGATCCTATACAGTAGGAAAGTAGATAGAACACGTTAACCCTGGGAGGATAATGACTAAATTTATATCTATGAACTACATGTCCTTTTATTTATATAAATGTACATCTTTAACACTAAAGCTTTTAATTGGGGCTATTCACGACTGGCAATACAACTTTTAAAAGTCAGGTGGCTAAAAATGATAATGATGACTATAAGCAGTAAGAGTTAGATTTGAATCACAGCTCTGTAACTTACTGTGATCTTGAGAAAATAACTCAACTTTTTTGAGTTCAGTTACCTCATCTGTAAAATATACTTTACAGGCCCTAACCGGTTTGGCTCAGCAGATAGAGTGTCGGCCTGCGGACTCAAAGGTCCCAGGTTCGATTCTGGTCAAGGGCATGTACCTTGGTTGCGGGCACATTCCCAGTGGGGAGTGTGCAGGAGGCAGCTGATTGATGTTTCTCTCTCATCGATGTTTCTAACTCTCTATCCCTCTCCCTTCCTCTCTGTAAAAAATCAATAAAATATATTTTATATATATATGTATATATTATTTTTACAGGATTTTTAGAATCAAATGAAAGAATGTCTATAAAGTACTAAACACAGCTGGCCAGGCAGACAGTAAGTGACAAATAAATGTTAAGTACTGACCACCTTTACTCCATCAATGCTCCAGGTGACATCATAAGTTATATCTCTAAGTATATAAGTCTACTTTTCTCTATCTCAAATTGGTCAAATGCAAGGTGGGTTCTTACCCCCTTTAAAGTACTGTTATGAGGACTAAGATTTTAAATCTTTTTCATAAACAGCAGGGTGTTTTCTTAAATCCACCCCAAAGCTCAAAGTAACAGTAAAGGAAAATAAAGGAACATGTTAACTAAGTATAGGCTGATATTTGGCCTTCCTTTTGGGAAATAATATCTCCTGATTTGTAAGCCTGAAGACAGAGGCCTGCAAGAGTGCTTTCTCTTATTACTTTAAAGAGTATTTTTCCTTTACATGGAAAATATTGATAATCACTGGTCCTCCAGAATAAAACCTACTTTTTTTTTTAAAGTACACAGTGCCCAAATAGTTATTATATACTTTCTTTGAAACCAAAAACTGACACACAGGACAGAGATAAGACAATTTACTAAAACGTAAGTACTACGACATTCTGCATGATTAGCACTTAGAATATACCTGGCACTCGGTATTACTGACTGAATAAATCTGGCCTTTGCTTACCTCCCCAACCACGTTTCTCCTTACTTTACCTACCTCTTTAATCTACTTCCTAGCCAAGCAGATTTTCCTGACATATCAACCTCTTTAAGCCTCAGTGACCCTGCACACTCTATTCTTTCTGCCTAGATGCCTTCAGCATGTCCCTTTTTCATTTCTGCCACCCTAGCCTAGATAATTACTTTCAAGATTCAGCACAAATAGCTGCACCCCCCACCTTGGATCACCGCCACTTTTATCACTCCTCGGAGAGAACGCTGCCCTCGAGTTCCGACCGAGGCCAGTCCGTCCCACCTCTCCCGTCTGCGTCCCTAGCGACTCGCCCGGATCTGGAGCTCAGAGTCTGCTACTCCCTCTCGATTGTTTGCGCCGCTCCCTTCGCCCCGCCGTCCGCGCCGCGCCGCCAGCCCTGCTCCGCGCGCACTCGTACCTCAGAATTTCACTTCAGCACTGCGCCGCCTCTGAGTCTGGAAATAATATTCTCTTTACTCCTAGTTGTAGAATTTCCACTCAGCCAGCCCTCCTGTGGCTCTGGACGTTGTCCTTTCCCTGGATCAAGCTTAATTTGAATTGGTTGTTCAAGGCGGCAATCTCCGGCGTTAACCTATGCCGCCATCTTCGGTTCTTAGATAATTACTTTCAAGATTCAGCACAAATAGCTGCACCCCCCACCTTGGATCACCGCCACTTTTATCACTCCTAACACTTAATATACACTGTGCTATAGCTATATACTGTCTGCCTCCTGAACCAGACTGAGAGAGCTGTAAGAGGACAGAGACCAAATCATATTAGTCATGTATTCCCAGGGCCAACCAGTGCCAGGGAAACAGAACTCAAATACTTTTCCAGTGAAATAATTGTAGGGTAGGAAATGGAGATAATGCTAGCCTATTAAGTCAAACAAAGAAAACTCAACAAACACAACAACTAAAAATCATAAAGGACACCAATAAGGAGGGAAAAACTGGCTAGTGGTTTCCCCAATACAACAAAGCCCACTATCTGAAAATTCAGAATTATTAAAATAAATCAGGTATTTTTATTCATTTTTCAAAATATACACCAAAGAATTTCTTCATATAT